GTTTGATTTAAAAACATTAAATCTTTTACAGTGTTTACAGAGAGAGAGAATGAGAGAGCGAGAGATATGAAAGATGTAGAGGAAGTGAAAGAATGACGTGAACAGAAAACCACAAAGCATCCGTCTCACTCTCTGTGAATAACTCCAGGAAGAACTCGCTCACACACAGAAGACATCACTGTCAAAGCGGTTTGGTTGAAGTCTTTAACTGAGAGTTAACAGGTAGCTCACCTGGTTGAGTGCCGCAGCAGCTTCCTCCCTTTCCTCATTATCTTCTTCTGTTTTTATCCAATAAAAGGCAGAAAAAACCCCCAAAACAATACTAAATCTAAGAGTTAAAGGTCCAGTGTGAAACATTTAAGAGGATCTATTCACAGATATGTTTTCATTAGTGTTTAATCATCAGAAAATAAGAACTTTTGTGTTTCTGTTACGTTAGAATGAGACGTTTTTACCCGTTTTATTCCGCCATGTTTCTACAGAAGCCCAGAAGGAACAAACCAAACACTGGCTCTAGATAGTGGAGGGTGAAGTGAGGGAGAAGCAATCTGGTCCTTTAACATTATCGACTCCTTGAACCAAACTAAGAGTTAACAGGTCGCTCACCTGGAAGAGAACCTGCACATGAGGCCTTTACTGCTGCTCAGTCTTTAGGGCCTTGAGAACCGGAGGGTCGCCGGTTCAAGTCCAGCACGGACCACGGTCTGGAGATTGGACTGGTTGCTGGAGAGGTGCCAGTTCCTCCTCCTGGGCACTGCCGAGGTGCCCTTGAGCAAGGCACCGAACCCCTCACTGCTCCCAGGGTGCCACTGACTCCACCATCTCCACAAGCCCTATGTGTGCATGATTGTGTTTATGGTCTATGTGTAAAAACTGAGTGACCCCATTAGGTTTTTAATAAAGTTAATCTTCTTTCCCGCCTCTTGAGCTCAAAGTAAGAGTTGAAGCAGCCACAAGGAACATTTCGCTAAGGCCTAGCCAAGCAACATAGCATGTCGGGGTACCGGGAAAGGAAGAAGCTGATCTTGATAACTGATGTATTTGTTACTCTCATATCTCCCTCATTGAATAAAAGGTTTCGATGTAACCATCCTGGAATAATGTTTTCTCCTGAACGGTGCGTTCAAATACACATCTGTATTCTGTCATCAAGCTCAGTGGTTTTGTAACCAAATCTCAGACGTCGAAGCGTCTTTGAACACATCAAAACAATCCTCTCTCTCTCTCTCTCTCTCTCTCTCTCTCTATCTCTCTCTCTCAGCTGCACACCTTTTATTGCTACCACTAATACCACTCACGTCCACCGCGTCTGAGACGTCTAAAAATGACAGCAGTTACCCGCAGGAGGTTCTGGGTCTCTGCAAGTTGATTGTGTAATAAAAGAAGTGAAACCAGCTGCAGGGTGGCATTAAAGAAGTTAGCTCACAGCATGTGATACTGTATGTGGTTGTTGATGATGTTCCGTACAGTTGTTAAACCGTCTGGTTTCACATTAAAGGTCTCACAAACACACACATACGCTAGTATTTGTACCCCTGTGAGGACCCTCGTCCAGTTACTGCAGTCCTGAACCCGCTTCACCAAAAGTGTCCTCGCTTTTAAAAAGCGTCCTCAATGTCAGCGTCCCTAAAACATGTCCTTAAAGTTTTAAACTTTTGTCCCCCAAAATTTCCGTAGCTTACAAATTTGACCTCAATTTCTGAAAATGTCTGTTTCCAAGAATGTCCTTTTTTTTTAACCATCCTCATATTTCAAATTCATACACTTTTAACAAATGTTCTCCTCCTTTTCCCAAAAAACATCCTTGATTCTGATTTCAAAGTGTCCCCAAATGTTTTATCCAAATTGTCCACAAATGTCCCCAATTAGCAAAAATGTCCTCAGTTTCCATATTTGACCTCACGTCCTCAAACTGCAACTTTCAGGGTCTCCACTTTCTAAATTTGACCTCACTTTCTAAAAACTGTCCTCACCTCAAAATTTGCAAGTTTCCGCACAAATATCCAAAATTTCACCACTTTCTAAATTTGTCTTTTCTTCACTTTCGAAATGAAAATACAAACTGTGCCCAACTTTACAAAATAAAAGCCTCTTTATGCAAATAAATAAATAAAAAATAAATAAATCCTCACTTTTACTTTTCAAACCTGAACTAAAACTTTAAAAACTGTTCAAACTTCTTAAGACTGAAACCACACACGTGTACACACACCATGTTATTTTTCCACTCTGGTTGCTGATTTGACAGTCAAATGACACATTCACCACTAACCTCT